CTGCCACCACGCCTGGCTAATTTTTTGTAATTTTAGTAGAGACTGGGTTTCACCGTGTTAGCCAGGATGATCTCGATCTCCTGACCTCGTGATCCGCCCGCCTCCGCCTCCCAAAGTGCAGGGATTACAGGTGTGAGCCACCGCACCCGGCCTCCCATTGTTTATTTTTTAGTTTTTGACACAGGGTCTCACTCTGTCACCCAGGCTGGAGTGCAGTGGTGTGACTGATCACAGCTCACTGCAGCCTCTAACTCGTAGGTCCAACTAATCCCCCTGCCCCAGCCTCTCAAGTGGCTGGGACAGCAGACATATGCCACCAAGTTCAGCAATTTTTTTTCTTTTCCCAATACAGAGTTTTGCTCTGTTGCCCAGGCTAGAGTGCAGTGGTACTATCTCGGCTCACTGCAACTTCTGCCTCCCGGATTCAAGCAATTCTCCTGCCTCAGACTCCTGAGTAGGTGGGATTACAGGCGCCTGCCACCACGACTGGCTAATTTTTGTATTTTTAGTAGAGATGCAGTTTCACCATGTTGGCCAGGCTGGTCTTGAACTCCTGACCTCGTGATCCACCTGCCTCAGCCTCCCAAAGTGCTGGGATTACAGGCATGAACCACTGTGCCTGGCCACATTCGGCAAACTTTTAAATTTTTTGTAGACACAGGGTCTCCCCATGTTGCCCAGGCTGGTTTCAAACTCCGGGCCTCAAGCAATCCTCCTGCCTTGGCCTCCACAAATGCTGGGATTACAGGCGTGAGCCACCGCGACTGGCCCTATTCTTTCTATGTGGTGGTTTGGGGGGGAACCACTGGAAGGGTACCTAAGAATCTAACAACAGAGGTTACCTATTGGAATAGACTAGTGGGGGAATTAAGTAAATGGGAGACAAGAGAGAAGAGACCTTTTGTTTTAGACTTTTTTTTTTTTTCTTGCGATGGAGTTTCACTCTTATCCAGGCTGGAGTACAGTGGCACGATCCAGGCTCACTGCAACCTCTGCATTCCAGGTTCAAGTGATTCCCCTGCCTCAGCCTCCCGAGTAGCTGGGATTACAGGAATACACCACCTTGCCCGGCTAGTTTTGTATTTTTAGTAGAGACAGGGTTTCTCCATGTTGGTCAGGCTGGTCTCGAACTGCCGACCTCAGGTGATCCACCCACCTTGGCCTCCCAAAGTGCTGGGATTACAGGTGTAAGCTACCGCACCTGGCTTGTTTTACTCTTTTTTTATACTCTGATAAATGTACATATTCTATGACCCAGCAGTTCCATGCCCATGTAATTACCTTATAAATACACCTCCATATGTGCAAAACAACACATATACAAGGATATTCTGTTGTGGCATTATTTGTAACAGAAAAAGAATGGAAACAACCTAGACACCCATCAGGAGGAAACTGATTAAATAAATCATCCATTTGAAATAAAACGGTACATTTGTTACTAAGAATGACGCAATTCTCTGTGTTCTGATATGGAACGATTTCCAAGTTGAATGGAAAAAAGAAAGGTGCAGGACGGTGTGTACATAATGCTACCATTTGTGTGGGAAGAAAAGTGAAACTATATGCATATCCGTTTGCAAATGCAGTTAATGTCTCCAGAACACAGAATAAACTAATAACAGTGGCTGCTTCTGGGGAGGAGAACTGGGTAACTGGGAAACAGTGGTGGGGACGGGTTATTACCTTACACTATACTTTTTGAATCATGGGCATGTTTTATCTATTCAAAACTTTATAAAATTTCTGAGAAGGTATTTGCCGGGCGCGGTGGCTCATGCCTGTAATCCCAGCACTTTGGGAGGCTGAGGTGGGCCGATCACGAGGTCAGATCGAGATCATCCCGGCTAACATGGTGAAACCCTCTCTCTACTAAAAATATAAAAAATTAACTGGGTGTGGTGGCAGGCGCCTGTAGTCCCAGCTACTCGGGAGGCTGAGGCGGGAGAATGGTGTGGACCTGGGAGGCGGAGCTTGCAGTGAGCTGAGATCACACAACTGCACTCCAGCCTGGGCGACAGAGCGAGTCTGTCTCAAACAAACAAACAAACAAACAAAAAATTTCTGAGAAGGAGACGTATTGGAGGAGGAGGAGCAGGAAAAGTCACATGCTAGGGTGGGGGCTAAAGCCATCTGTACACAAAGCATTTCAATTTCACATGTTATGCTTTTTCCTGGGGCTTTTAACCTGAGTTTTCCCCGGAATTGCTCTTACGAATTCCAGCACTGGAACAGACACAATTTCACTGGAGACCCAGGATCTTCACAAAATCAGGAAGATAATTTTTAAAGACAAGAGCAAGCACTAGCTCTCTGCAAGGTACACCACTCTTTAATCCATGCAGTAGAAAGACAACTGGATCCAGACCTTTGCTTCAGAACCTTTTTATTCATCATCTAACCAACAGAAGAGGTTGGCTTGAGCTCAAACTAAAATGGCCTCAAAAGGCCTGCCTCGTTACAACATGACAGGGCAAAACCAGAAGTGGGGACAGAGTTTAGCCTCAGTTCTCTGCAGAGAAAACCAAGCATGTATTTACACACAGGTGCCTCATTAAAAACTGACTGGCAATGTTCCACCAGCACAGACCCAGAGTGTGCAGAAATCCGTGGGGGCTCTGTACACGTCATTCAGACAATCCACCGATTCCTCAGCCATAAACAAGCTCTTGTTTTTTGGGAGGAGGGTGATTAGCATGTTATCTTGAATGATGGCACCATTTATTTACTCTGGAACTTTGAAAGGGGGGTGACAATTTATTTTCTCCCCTGAATCTGAGATGCAGTGGCCTGCCTGTCACAGTATCTAAAATGTGTCCTGGAAGACAGATAGGTGGTGGAGGTTGCCCTAACACAGAGTTTACGGGGTAATTGTGTTGGGCTCTTTAAGTACTTAATCCTGTTGTTTTTCAGAAACCCTTTGCACCTGGGCTCCCAAGAAGCCAGCAGGACCCCATGGAGCATCCCACAGGCCTGTGAGTGAAGTGCCTCTCAGAGCAGTCACCCAGGGAAGGGAGGAGGGCAGGGAACGGGGCCAGGGGAGATGCAGGGACAGAAATCAGCAGAAACACTCCATGCTGGTTCTGACTCGCTCCATCTCGTGCAGGAAGCTGTAGAACTGAGGCAAGGTTAATTCTGGGGAGAGAAAATTCAGCTTCAGATAAATGTTTCCAACTCCACAGAATCATCCAAGAAAATTAATTTCCACGCAGAGGATTTTTTTTTTCTTTTTTGGCTTAGTACCTCTAAGCAGTTCTTGATGGGTAATTGATCATAATAAAGAACTGAGAGACTTGAATGCAGAAGGTTCTCTGCTCCATAGGAAAAAAAAAAGGGAGTGAGTGTTCAAATGGCACAGCTCCACAGCACAAAGAGATGAAAGGGTATCATTCGGGATGTTCAATGGGACTTCTACGGCAAGAGCTTCTTGCTCGTCAACCTTCTTCTTCAATCCCAGACATTCTGTTCCCTCCCTTTCCCTTTTTCAAAACGGCTCTTCAACTGTGGGGGCTCCAACCTGCCAATGGCTTTCTAACACTCCTTGTGCCATCTTTTAGGAGAGGAAAGGCAGTGGAACAGCTACTCCACAGCTGGCAATGACTGTTTTATAGAAGACATGATTTGTGGTGAGTGTCACCAGCCCCTGACTGCAGAGAACATGGAAAAGGTGAAGAGGTTCAAGAGGGAATTCAGACTCACCTATATACACATTTTCGGTTTGATTTCCTTTCTTAACCACCAACTTTAGCTGATGAAAGAAAAAGAAATAATTTAAATTAAAATGACAACTGGGCAAATAAATTAAAACCCTTTGACTTAATTAAGCTTCCAACCTGAGAGTCCTACAGGAGCAGTATGGATCATCCACCACTGAAAATTCTAACAATTCCCATGATTACAGGAACAATCACATGTCAATGAATCATACTAGGATCTATTCATCTGAAAGTAGGCATGTTAGTGACCACATCTGTAGTTGGCCACACTGCTCTGAGATAGATATATAAGGTACTTCAGTAAAACATCCATTTAAATGGACATTTAAATGGTTGGATATTTAACCCAATGTAGATTTGATAATTTTTAACCAAGTCAAAAATCTACCCATTTTCAAGGATCAGGAGAAGACTTACTTGTAAAAATATACTTCCCACTTTCTCCAATTCACTGCTCCCAGATGTCACTGTGACAAAAAAAAAAAAAAAAGAGAGAGAAAAATAACAAGTGACTGATTGAGGACTGACCCTGAAGACCCCAGTTTTGCAGTTGTCCAGCAGAAGCCATGTGGGGGCAAGTATGAGGGCAGCAAGGTGTACTTCTGGAAAGTCAACTTATCCAGAGCCATGAATTGAAACAGCTACCGAATGTGGGCAGAATACAAAACAGCAGGTGCTGCCTCAACAGTGCCTTCCCCACAGTGGCTGTGTCACAGCCTCTGCACCCCGACCCTGTACCACCCAAATAACCCAGGACTGGTTGTAACTAGTTACCTCCAAATTTCCACTCCATATCTATGAGCTGGTTAATCATCAGAGTCTGACCAATGGCCCACTGAGCAAGGGTGGGAGCATTCTGCTTCCACTGGAACAAAAGCAAAAGCCAAAGTCAATTACAATAGGAAGAATCTCCCCCTCTCCATCCTGCCCCAACACTGCAATATTTAGCATTGACACAGATAGTGGGGAGGGTGCAGAACAAGGGCTCAACCTATATGCACATACCTAGGGATGGAGGAGGGTACAGAGTGGCAGACCACAACATTAATGTTGTATTTTTCATTCCAAGATTTAATCCATCTTGGAATAAAAACTGTGCTGCCATCATACTGGCCCCCACATGGCTTCTACTAGACAATTGCAAAATTGGGGTCTTCAGGGTAAGTTCTCAGTCACTTGTTATTTTTCTTTTTGTCACAGTGACATCTGAGAGCAGTAAACTGGAGAAAGTAGGAGGTATATTTTTACAAGTAAGTCTTCTCCTGATCCATGAAAATGGGCAGATTTTTGACTAGGTCAAATAATGATTAGAGATGCACTGAATAGCGCTGGTTAATGCTGTGCGTATGACACTCGCTTGAAGCCAAATGAAAACCTTAGGCTGGGGAAATGATAATACTGATGGATGGTTTCGGCTTACTTGGCATTTTCCGTTGTTTTCTCTCTTCGTGATATAAAAGCAAGGGGCTGGGCGTGGTGGTTCACGCCTGTAATCCCAGCACTTTGGGAGGCCGAGGAGGGTGGATCACCTGAGGTTGGAAGTTCAAGGCCAGTCTGGCCAACATGGTGAAACCCCGTCTCTACTAAAAATACACAATTTGGCCGGGTGCGGTGGCTCATGCCTATAATCCCAGCACTTTGGGAGGCTGAGGCGGGTGGATCACAACGTCAGGAGATAGAGACCATCCTGGCTAACACGGTGAAACCCCGTCTCCACTAAAAATACAAAAAATTAGCCGGGTGTGGTGGCAGGCGCCTGTAGTCCCAGCTACTC